AAAGCAGACAACACTGTTTTGTGTTCATGAGTGATTGTGTTCTTTCTCAGGTTCTATAATTTGTTCAAGTATTTTCCACTAGCTTGTTTAAATTTTATTTCGTGCAGAACATCTTGCTGGCCTATAATTCATCATTTGTGGTTTACGCAAGTTGATGCAAAAGTAATCATTTTAGTGGTCATCTCATTTTACTCTAGTTTGGTTCAGTTTAAATGTGTCCCTTTATGATTTTTTTCACACCTCGATTGGAAATCTCGATGACTCTGCCTTCTGTGCAGTTTGGGACTGCTTTCTTGGAAACACATTACATCTTCATTGTTCGCATTATCCTCTAATTGATTTTTGTTGTTTGTATGGTTTTGCTGTTTCAATAACTCCTTTAGTAGTTCTGTTCTTGATTGAGTTGCGTGTCATATATTAGTTGATGTGTCGTCCTTATTGCCCGCATTAGCCTCTAATTAATTGATTTTGCGGGTTTGGATGCTTTTGCCTTTTCAAGTATTTTTTTGTTAGTGGATCTGTTCTTCAATGTCATTGAGTTTGTGGCATTATTTCAGTTGATGTGTCTATCATTTGTTCGATATGATAGATAACCTTATAAAAAATGAAGCCTTAGCTCGTTCACAAAATATTGTCTAAAATGATGCGAATTTAGATTGATTGACATCTTACAGAAGGATGTATTTGATTCTTTGTGAGCTAGAAAGTATATGGTGATTGTTAGATACATCATATGTATAGCCATTCATTCTGTGGAGGAAAAAGAAAGAAAGAAAGAAGAGGCGCAGTTTTGAAGTAGCATAAACTAAATCATAACAGAGGCATTAAAACATCTTTACTTTCATTCGACTGAGCTGTTTATTTTTCATATTCAAAGTACTCTTCTTGTTTAGTGCAGGAAGTAAAACGATGGGAAAAAATGGGGTACTATGAGGAACAAAACCAGTCGAAGCCAAAGATTGACCTTGATTTTCCTGTGAGTTGATTTGTGATATCGTAAAACTAAGAACGAAAAGACAAAAGTGTTTTACGTGCTTGCGGTTTGTGTTTTTTGTCGGGTTTTTCAGCTTGTAAATATTCTCTAAAGTCTGAACTTTATGTGTAGCTTTTTGTTCATGTTTGGAAATTCATTTTTCTGCTATTTTACCCTGCAGCTGGAACAATACCCTGGTGCTGAATTCTGAATAAATCACTACTTTATAACATAGTAAAATAAAGAATTAATGCTTTAAACAAAAGATATATTTCAATTGTCAAATAAAATATAAAGCACTTATTACCTCCTCAATGGCACACTTGAGACTATAGCAACCCCATCCAATTAGTGGCTTACAATAATCGTCCCAACAAAGCAAAGTCGTCCCAACAAAGCAAAGTCGCAGTCGTCGAGTTGTTCACAACATCAAATTCAATCCGGTAACTAACAATGAAGTCAACTATTATTGCACATAACCAGACGCATCATTCCTTGTATTGCATAATACACACAAAAAATAATAATAATAAAAGAAGTTGGGTTACTCATTTTAAATGGAATAAAGGGTTTGATACACATCGATATTATGAAAAACACAGTCCAATCCTACAACTAATTTTTTTGCGATGTTCATTCGTAGCAGTATATGAGTCACAACTTCATTTGCCACTCGATTTTTGGGATATTGATGTCATTAGTGACGAGAAATCCTGTGAAAAACACGATCGCCTGTCAGTGGAAGGTTTTCTGCGTTCAGGCCTTTAATGTTGTGGCATGAAAAATTTTGGAAGAATTATCAAATCTATATATCAAAAAATTATTAGCAAATGATTGTATTAACTGTTTGTATATCTCAAAGATTTTTATGAATATGTTCTTTATTGAAATGTCTACGGATGATAGGGTATATAATATACAGTGCAAACAATCTCTCCCCTTAATAAGAAATAGTAAAATAGTAATATGCAAGATTGGATTTTATCTAATAACAATAATTAAGATTTTCTGAAGATAATTTCTATAATTTTCTATAATATGTTATTATTACATTATTTGATTGAACATCATTTAAGAATTAAGATTATGATGATTCTATATTCCATATTGATTATATTTGCATATTAAATATATGTTAATTTATGGTATTAAAAAAAGAATTTTACCTGGAAGGAATATCAGATACTATGTAGACTTGAAGCTTAATTATTTTAAGTATGGGTTATGAAAATTTTGTAAACATACACACAAATCTGGTTCAGAAAAGGCAATCCAATTTGTAATGACTGCAATCAAATTTTTTAATGGAGATTTCGTAGGAAATTTTGATATCTCGGTTAAAATGGATTGAAAATACTATAACCGTAATTGTTGACCACATGGATTCTCTTCAAAATTTATATTGATTTTTTTTATTCAAATTTAAAAAATGTCGGCCTCTTTTCAAAATTTTTTAAAAAAATTTACTATAAATGGTAAAAATGAATTATTTAGACAAAAATTTTTACTTCTGAAATTTCAGGTAAATACCTAACCTTTTTATATTTATCTAGATGAGAAATGCTATGAAGCCAACCACCATGTTATAGTGCCACGTAGGCCATATGAAAAAATAATTAACTCCACATAGCCAACCATTGGCTCCATAGCATTTCTCTTATATAGATATAGATATAGATTTCACAAATGTACGGAGTAAAAGAATACTAAAAAGCAGTATCCTAATACAAATTTCACTACAGAACCAAGAAATAATTTTTTTTACAGGATCACAACTTCAAAAATTAGTTCCAGTTGACTCTAGCTAGCTAAGCAGAGCAGCAGTGCCGTGGAAAAAGAAAAAATAAAAATTCCAGCAATCGATGAACAACGTCAATGTCTGTGAGAATGTTTTCTGCTCCTCCTGTAATACGTGTCTCCCTTTGACCTGTTTCTGTTTTGGAGGATCCTGAAAATGAAGGAAACTATTCCAATTGCAGCCATTGCATAGAACACCAGATATGGTGATAAAGCCAAGGCAGATAGATAGGAAAAGTATCCAGCAAGGAGATATGCAAAGCTCAGCCTGACTTCCCACAGAGGGATTGGAAACAGATAAAAATTGAATTCAGGCTTCGAATCACATACTCCGTGCACCACAACACCAGCGCAAAGTAGAGAGTCCCAAAACCATGGAAAACTTTGGCCTATACCAATTCTCTGCAACCACAAAGGAGATATTTGAGAGCCAGCAAAAGAGTAGAAAATCTTGAAAACTCACAGAAAAAACTATTTCTAGAGCTCTCCTCTCCCTGAATAAAAAAGAGACTGGGGCCAGTACAAAAGTGAACTTTAATAATGCTAGTTTACTGATGTTTATGACAAACAGCAAATTCATTGTCATACCTGAAGCCAGGCCACAAGCGAAGGCACAAACATTAATGCTGCCAGCAAATGTAAAACTAGCAAACCATGCTGGTGATGAAAGATGTCTAGTTGCGTGTCAACGTAGCTTCTATTAGATTCAGGGCTACCAGTACAGGTTTCGTTTCCTAGAATTGGCTCACTAATATCCCCATCATACTTGGGACTTTGCAGCATCGGACCACTATGTCGGGATTCATACAACTCCTTGGCCCGGACATGGCTGCGAAATGAAGCCATCAAAAGCCTAAACTTCAAACATGCAAAACAATGCTACAATGAAAAGAAACATGGTGTGTGTATAAATAAAATAAAAGAAAAGCAATAAATGAATTGATGTTAATACTACTGCATTTGTTCTAGACTCCAGGTCCATCAGACTATATCGTCAAAAATTCAACCAGATCTAGTACAAGTATCAGTTATCCTGGTAAGAGTTGGGTATTCGGGTTTAATGCAAGAAAAAGACAGTAATAAATCAAGGCGTTTTTGGGGACAAAGACAATGTTCTAAACTCAGACAAGCTTCCAAGCACACAGTGTAAAGCTAGAAACAGAAACTATTATATTTCCTTGTTATCCAAATTATTAAAATCATGTTAACCAGGCATAACAAATATCTGAGGCAATTTAACCATAGTGACCAAAGAAATTATTAATGGTAAATGACGAAATTGATACCTGAACAAGGCACTGTGACAGCTAAAAGCATGCGATAAGAGCAACACAAAGAGACCCAGTGCAGGATGCACAAGGCACACCAAGGCAATTGCAATCATTGACGTAATAAGCAGAGGCTTTGCCCTTAAAACTCTTATCACCTAACCCAGGAAAAAAGGCAGACAATTAATTAATATAAATTAAAGTCAAATAATTGAACCTAAGTAACTAATAAAAAAATGAATAGTAGGATTCTTTCTATAAGAAATGAGCTCAACCATAAATAAGTTCCGTAATTTAGAAAGCAGCTAGAACCTTTAAATTTCAATAAGTCAGCTGGTCAATGATATCTCATGAGCAACATCACCTTGGTAGATGCAAAGCTGGAGGACTTATTCATGAACCATTGGACAAAAGAAAAGCACAAGTTTCCTTCACACAAGTGCCACCTGCAAGTTAAGCTAATTTCAGCCTGTAATAAAATTGATCCTTTTCATGTGTTATGATGACTCAAACACGCTGAACTAGAGAGAAAATACACACACAACCACGCATGGGTTACTAACCGTTTCCTGAAAAATACTTGGACAGTGCCAGCCACATAGAAAAGCAACAGGGAAACTAATATCAGCACAGCTACAGCTCCATTTGCAAAAACGTAGCAAAGTACTGAAACTGCTAAGAAACTTATAATTGGAGGAATGGGCTGGGAGCCTAGGAAAGAAATGAGCACAGCAAGCAGAACTGGCAGTGTGGCAAGTAAGAAAAATGGCCATGGCATTCTCAGGTTTGATTCAACGGCAGATAGCAATGAAGGTATGGGCTGATCAAGTTCCCATGCATATGCCTGCCTCATCAGAGCAAAAAACGCAACAGCAAAGCAAAGGCCACTGATCTGCGATCGAGCTAAAAGATCATAAGAATCTACCAATTATCATAGACTATGAAGCCTATAGGAAAATGTCAATGGTGAAATCTGAGACACCGATGCTAAAAGTAAATTGTAAGCAGTTCTTCATTATTTTAACAGGGTTTGTGTTGCACCAAAAAAAAAAATAAGAAAAAAGAAAAAAGGTATCTGCGTCTGTTCAGAGAAAATTCAGATTTAGAATTTGGAAACAATCAAATTAATATCTGACAAACAAGCCAAATCCAGCTGAAACGTTTGTGAACAGGTAGATGGTAGTGCAAATTTACCTGAGAAAAGTATAAGATCAAGAATCTACCAGCAGCAGTAGTGGTAGAAATACTAACAGTACTTTTATACGAGCAATGCGGGTCTACCTGCAGAGAATTGTATGGACAAAAATAAAAATGGATAAACAGGGTATAATAAATCACCAAATATCATATATTCCTATCCGCAATTGCTGATGGTTAAAAATAATTTACCAGTAACAAAACGGTTGTCTTGTCAGATTTCTTTGAAGAAGTCCACAATGCTGGAGAGGAATCCACAATAATTCTTTCAGAAAACAGATTGGGAAATACATGGAGACCAGATGTAGCATCCCAAGCAAGAGCCACAGGTGGGAAACAGCGACGTCTGCAAATGGCTGCATTTGAAAGGATGAACATTACATGCTGACATATTACCGACAGTAAAATTAGAGAATTAGAGATAAGTTTTAAGGAAAAGCATCATATAGACATGTCAATCAATTTGGATCTATTGTCTAGAACAGAAAACTAGCATCCATCACAAAATATATGTGACCACTAATATTTCTCTTCATGCAATCAGTAAAACATGAATTTTCAGAAGTCCTTTATACCAATCAATTCTGAGTGGTCGGATATGAAGAGTCGATCAGATAAAAGTGAGACAAAATATTCCGCAGAAAAAGTAATACAGGATGGTGACACTTACTACTAGTTTCAACATCTCCCGACTCTTCAAGAGGAAATTCTGACTTCTTAATTCCACAGCCAGTTGTTTCAAGGGTTAAAGAAATAGGAAGAAGACCTAAGCTAACGGAAAATGTATGGTTGAGAATAAGAGGATGATCTTCTTTCAAATTCACATCCTGTTACACAATCCAATTATGCAACCATGAGTCATTACTCCCAATATAGCATTCCAACATTATTGACTTCTGCAGTTGCTGCAAGTATCAACAAACATAGTAACCTTTTTTGAGTATAATGAATGAATCAACTGGTAAGCAGAGAATAAGTGTTCTCCATCCTTTGGATTGAAAAATTGTCCAACTCCCATAGATGCAGCTGGTGGAGGTCTTCCTGAAACAGTCTGACAAAAGAAAGTCCCTTAGAGTAGCTCAGGGGAAAAAAAAGGCTATTGCTTATGATAATTACGAGGTCATAAAAGTTTCTTAGGAAGAAAGCCACTCTTGCACACAGTTGTTATAATAGAGATCTTCTCATTATAGTAATAAGATAAGATTGGGCATTGTAAAAGACATCCAGACCAGTAAAGACTGCACTTAATAAATGATGATGTATAACACAAACCTTATCACAAATCCTACATTTTATTGATTAAAGTAGAACAACGGTAGTTGCTTTCCACCCTATCTAGAGAAAAGCATCAAGCCAAAAACATAGCCAGGGCTAAAGAACACTTGCAGTTACTGGACGCTCTTCTAAAACATTACCGCACCATTATAAGCTGTTGTACATCAGTATTACAACAATAATCATAAGAAACACTATTTGTTTTCGATATCTTTCAGATAGATGCACTCCTTTTAACCTCTGGCCTGAATTAGTTCGATTTGTTATTGTCCATAATGAATTCTCAACATAACAAAATCTTAAATACTGTTATGCTAAATAATATTCGTTCCCCGTACAAAAAATTGTGGAATTCGCCTCAAATTATTACTTCATGACCAACCACATCTATGATAATAATTACTTTCCCATTATTTTTTTTTTATGAGTGCCTAAAATGAATATGACTCTAGGATCTTCAGCGTCCAGGTAAGCACGGAAGTCCATTCAGAAGAACAAGTTGATAAGAGATTTCCTTAACTTTCTTATAAGAAACTCAAAAGCAAAGAGATCCTTTATGGGATCAATTATTAACAGCATAAAGGTTAAATAAAATACTTAGTTACAACTATTAGCAATTAAGAAAATGGAAAAAGAAAATACCGGGCGAGGCGCCACTAAGATGGTCAAGAACCTGAAGCCGTGCATATCCTGAGGACTCAACCAAAATACAGCAGATGGAGGAGCTTGCTCAGTCTGACTACCTGGTTCAATCTACAAAGAAACGGACATGTTGATTTATTAAAGTATAAAACCTTTGGCTCATCAAAAAAACCCTCCAGAAATAAAGAGTACAACATATACCTGCCTTGGAGCTGGGCCAGAGGGAATGTGTACCATTTTTGAGGTGATTTCCACAACCCGTTTGTCAGTTAAAAGGTCTGCAGTTGATGTTCCCTTCTCTCGCCAAAGATGTAGTCGAACACCAGAACAAGGTGAAAGATTCGTGACAAAAACAAAGTGGGTTTTTCTGTCCGCACCCTGTTCATTTAAGAGCATTCGGGATCCCCACTTTAGAGACTATCACCATTATTGGCACCATGCTATCCATAAAGAACACAGAAGTTGCTAACCCATGTTCCAAATTCCAAATAAAAGGTAAAATTTCTTATTTTTTATGTTTTAGAATTTTAAGAACCCAATTGTATTAAAGTTTTCTCTAATTTAGAATCTCTCTCCCTTCCAAGCCAGTTGAAACACAAAAGTAATAGTTTCTGCAATCTGTAACTGATGCTCACCAGTTTGTGAATGTCCATCCAACGTCTTCGCCCATCCATAGCTAACACAGTGACAGAACTAGTTTGGATGTAAAGATCTCTTTCAAGTCCATCATCATTCCATTGGCTATCACGTGGGCAACCAGATATGTAGGGAACTTGCAACCCGGAGTTATCAGATATTCGTCGGTTATTCACCCCATAGGATGAAGATAAAATCCCTACAATCTCAAAGCTCAATTAAGGTTTATGTATGACTTGAAGAATGTTTAACATCGGACATGCTATCGACAGGTCTCCATGTCAAAAGAGATCCAAGTTTTTTCTTTTTTCCTTTTAGTATTAGAACTGCTTCGATTTAACCAATATAGACACGGTTCAAGTACATAAAAATAACAAGAATACAAACATGGAGAAAGAGTAACAAATAAAGATTTGTAACTTAAACATGAAAATGGGGAAAGAAATATAAAATCTAAATTACAAAGATTCCTTAATCCTTATTTATGAACAGTACAACCCCTTGCATAAAACGAAATGCCCAATCCAAGGTTCTTTTTTCCTTTTCTTTCACGTTTTGTGTCCACCATAGCCAATCTCAAAGAGAGGGTGAGGCAAACTGCTGATATTACCGCTACGCGCCTCATATATCTTTGTAATCTAGGGCATCCATACACTTTAGTAGCGATATCGGGAGAGGGTAAACCATAGCCCGCCAATAAAAACACTAACTGGCCGGAAAGCCGACTCATTAACAATTAACACAACAATTCTCATTTCCTTCCTTTGCTCGATGAAGGCATTGAACGGAGGGTAAGAAATCAAAGGTTTTTTACTTTAAACTTCCTGAATTACTTCAATTAATATATATTAAGGTCTTCTGATGGTGCATATTCTTTAGTTGGGAGGGAGCTTTCCCCGGCCCTACCCCTTCCCTTCGGGAAGCTAGACTAGCTTCTTCACAAACGATCAGATCCTCGTCTCTGCTGGCTGCTAGGTCAAATAAAGCCGATAGGTGAACTGGCAAACGCGCTAAGCTGCTACGCAACGAGGTGTACTACGGAGCCTTTATAAAGGTATCTGAAATAGCTGCTATATCGAGGTCTTACAGGTGACTATCCTATTTGGGTTGTTCAGTTTATAACCAAATGGACTGGACGCCAGTTCCAATAGAACAGACCACTCTGTCCAATTTCAAGAACATTTTAAACTCACAAGTCAAATGATTCAAGCCAAATTCTGTGTTAAAATAAGTGATAAAATAAATAAATAAGAAGATTCAACGAGAGAATACCAGCATTGACTATTCTATTTTGATCAGAAGCCTGGTCAGACTTTTGCGATTGTGGTGATTGCCTCGATGAAAGGAAGGTCTGTGGGATTCCACTATGGAGCATTTTTGTAAATATACCAACTCTTTGTCTAACATCACCAAAAGGTTGACCTGTCTTGGTGTCCATCAGACTAAGTAAAGTGTGTGACACCTAAAAAGTTGAGTTTGAATTTCAGAAATGCATAAACAGTAACATTGGTAGTTCCATGAGACAAATAAACAACTTACTTGCACAACTAGCTGATTACACCATAAGATAACTTGGTGCTCCATGGACAACCATACATTTCTCATGGCAGTGCTACTAATCATGAAGCCATGCGCAGACGGAACAATACCATCAAGGGACTCTAACTTTGTACGCACCTAAAATTAAAAAATGGCGAAGCATAAATAACCCTTGATCGTCCATGAGAAATTGGCGAAAGAACAACTCGTAAATGGAGGCTACAACAAATTGCATCCATTATGGATCGCATGCTACAACCTCTTCTTTCACTACATTCACCATTAAGGGCAAAAATTCACGGTCTAAAAATTCAGCACTGTCAACGAAATTAGAGTTCAAGAATAGATAATGAATGTATATAAAAACACATGAGATGATTTAAGTATGTATGCACACACACACACACAAACACATACATATACATACTTCATAGCAAGAAAGCAGCAAATAAGTAAAAAATTACTGAGACCGTGAGATGATTCTCTGTAAATGAAACATACTTTATAAAGTTACCCCATGAACCAAGCTCTAGCCTAGGATCATAGTTTATGTAAATCAGATTTACCTGGTAATCATTATAACCCCCAGAAATGGAGACAATGACAACATGTGAAAGCAAAGGAGTAGACAGGTAGTGTCCGCTTCGAGAGGTTTGGCCCTCATATCCTTTTCTCCATGCCTCATTCACGTGTGCATAGTAGTGGCCCAAGGATGGCTGCAATGCCACAGGAGGAGACCTGGACAAAAAAAATAAAATTACTGGGAATATAGACAACTGTAAAAATCACAAGAAGTACTGAAAAGAAGCTGTAGAAACTCACTGGTGTGGGCTGGAAAGTGTCAGAACAGTTTCAACAGCAAACTTTCTCAAGTGAGGATGCACAACTGCGGCCCTAGCAATAAAACCACCCATAGAATGACCAACCAAAATGACACTTTTTGGTACGCTTCCAGAAACAGAAGAGCTTTCGTTTGCTCGAGCATCACGAGATTCTTTGTAGTGGTCCAAAATCTAAACCATGAAGATCAAACCCAGCAAAAAAATAGAAACCTAAGAGAGCTTGTTTTAAGTTCATTTCACAATTCACAAAGAAATGGAATGGAACTCAAAGGAAATGGAACAATGTATTTTGGTATTGGGTCCAACACAAACTGAAGTAATTACATTTTAAGTCTAAGACAGCAGGAACTCTTTCAAGTGATGGAGTAAACGTCGAAAGCTTATTGCAAATCAAATGTGCCCTAATTTAATTTTTAGAAGCTGCAAATAAATTCATTAAATGTATTAAAGGCATCTCACAAACATGGCTAAATTATCTCGACAACAAGATGTTTGTCCTTTCCTTATTATTAACTTTTTTGTCTGGTAAATGATGTTATAAATCAGCAGTGCCTCAAATATATCAGATTCCTCTTTGGTTTACCAGTTACAAATGCACAAAAATAGAAGTGAAGCAAAATAAACCACACAGCAATGCCATATTGGATACAAACTTTCATAAACCCCCATGGAGATGTGTTCAAGAAAGAGAATACCACATCATCATCCTACAGAAAACAATCATGATAGCAAGACAGCATGTTATGTGAAGTTTATATCATCCCGTCTAGTTTAACTGTATTAACATTCCTCCCTGCCCTTTATTCTGGATGTCAATTGTAGTAACCCAACTTTTCATCATGAATTCATAAAATAATGGCAAAAGTGATACCCTGTGAATGGCATATACTACATATTCCGCGTGTTCTTGAAGTATCTGACCATCCATTGCAGAGTGTTCACCCTCAAGATCTACTGCAAACCAATCGAGCATGGAAGCGTATCGACTGGGTAACTTAATGTCGGAGTAATCAATATCGACTTCCTCACTGAAAATTGGGGAAGCTTGGTAAGAGACCCATTCGAGTGGACCTCCTTGATAAGCCCTATCAGACTCTGCACCCAGGGATCTCACCTGTAAAGACATAGGCAAGCACATGTACATGAGAAATTAATCATGACATAAAAGCATGCAGTCATGCCTCTACTAGTGATCAGCCGATGATGCATTGCTATCAAATTGGATATATAAAATATATGAAAATATAATATAAGAAGCTAATTGATTGATGATAGATAAATACTAAAGAGTCCAACACCAGTATATGACTAAAGAAAGAATTGAAAACAGCTAGAAGAGAAGCTTGCCTGCTTATAGCTTCCACCATTGCCAGGTATGAAAAGGACAGGGACACCATTAAGCTGTCTAAGGTGTTCATTAAAATCAATCGTTTTCCATCCTTCATGGTACAAGTATAAACCGTACTTCGCAGACGACACATTTTCTGGAGTGGATATGGGAATGTATGTAGGGTACATATATGTCATGACACAACCATTTGATATTGGCTTCAACAAAGCGTAAAGACCCGCAAGGCTAATCCATATGGAAACAAAAACCACGAAAGCCACTCTAATTTTCACTTCTTGGCCTTTCACGCCCTTGCCACCTCTAAAACCCAGCTCCAAAATCATTTTCAAATAACCAGCTGCACTGCAAATCAGAAAGTCTATCCATAATTATTACCTAAAATAAAAGGAAGAAGAAGAAGAAGAAAACAACCCAACTTGCAGAAATTAATAACCAAACAATTAATCGATGTGGTCGAACCAATCAAATCACAATGCCAGATAACACTCTCAACTAAAATTTCCGTTTCGATCAACTAAATAACCAAATAATCACAAATTCACCATGTTCATACGCACAGAGTAATGCCATATAACATTCGATAAACTTAACGAGCACCAGTAGCTGCAGAACTCTACCCAGAGTTCCGTATTTTTGCATGTTTTTATCCTAAACAGCATATAAAAACAATTGCAATGCGGGGAGTTCACAGATGAATCGCTTTCGAGAACCAAATCAAGAAGAAGAAAGGCGACGGTTTACCTGTGAGAGTGAGATCCAGCTGAGCAGAAGGAGCAGAGTGAGCGGGGAGGAGCTTCAGAGCTGATCAGATGCTGCTGGGATTTTCGCTTAAATGGAAATGGTGTTTTCGCTTTAGAGAAATGATAAAGCGCAATACAAACATTGATTTGAAGTTGAAATGGTTGGTCCAATAGTGATTTGACTCGTGCCCTTCCTTTCCTTTTGGCTTTTAATCTCCTATCCTAATCCTATAATTGGGCATAACTGTGCTAAACATTGCAATTTTTAGTCTTCATTTATTCACTAGGCACTGATATATCATTTTATATTGTAAGTATAGTATTTGTGTGTGTGTGTTTGTGTTGCCCGATAAAGAAAATCTCCAAGGTTAAATTCGAATATGATGGACACGAGGGCGCGTTGTTGTTTCTGCATAAATATGACCGTCTCCGAGTTTAGATTATTTATATTCCCGATCTTTGTCATGTGTCGGATTTTTAGCTATTATAATTATCTTTGTCATGTGCCGAATTTTTAGCTATTATAATTTTCAGTTATGTTATTTCTATTGGTGTGGTAGTTAATTAAATAATAAGGGCATGCTTGTTTATGAAATAATTCATTTCACACTCAAAATCTAACTCAATTTTAACTCAACTCCACTATCATTTATATTATTTATATAATTAAATATTATAAACCAATCATTCTTACATATCACATCAACTTTAATTCACTATTCATCCACTCACATAATTTTAACTACCTATCATTTCCAATCATTTATATCTTACTTTTACATCAAATCATTAATAATCATTTTATTTTAAATATTATTTTAATATATTATTAAAATCCCACTAACAATTAACCATACTACCTTTTTCAAAATTAACTCTAATTAACTAAAATAACTCATTTTGAATGAAATATTTCATAAACAAGCACACCCTAAGGCTTTTATTTTGAGAAGTTGAAGAGTAGTGGGCTCTTCTTATATGTACCACTCAGTGAACAAGAATTCGGCAGCATATTATCATTTTGAGAAAACAGAAAATTGTTCTTGTGTTCGTATTTCCCTTTCGTATACATCCTCTACATTAGTTGGTATCAGCAGACTAGCCGACGATCCACGATGCCGCCAAAGAGGGCTAATGTCGTGAACGACAACTCCGTTGACGAACGGTTTCAGAAGATCGACGACCGTTTCCACGGAATTGACGAACGATTTACGGATCTCTCGACGGGAATCGATGAATTACGATTGACGATGCACACCATGATGGACGAGATGCGTCAAAATCGCGACGTGGCTGGTCGGGGCACTCGCGAGGGACAGCACGGTGGTCGGGGAGGTCGGGCTTTTGCCGGGGCGCCCCGCCGACAATCGCCACCACCACCGCCCACCGGTGGAGACTCCGACGACACCATGACGGTCGACAATCCTTTCGCCGACGGAGGGTTAGGGTTTTAAGGCCATGGTGGCGGCGGGCTAGGGTTCGAGCAGGGATGGCGTGACGGCGCAGAAAAGGTCGCCGCATGAGGGGTCCATGGCGGGCTGGAGTGGAGACGGAAGACGACTGGTTTTTCCGTCGGGGGTGGCCTCTGTCCGACAACGAAGGGTTTGAGGAGGACGGAGGTGATCGGCGTCGGGGTCGCGGTTCGGCCTGATCTTAGGCCCTAACTCACCCTCCGACCTGGAGCAGCAGCAAGTTTCCACCGGCGCGGCCGTTTCGGTGATGGCGATGGGGCGGACGACACGTGGCAGCAGCGGCGCGAGGGTCGGCGCCCAATAGAAGGTGGCGAGGACTCACGCTGGGAATCGGGGTTTCGGGTTGACATCCTAGAATTTCATGGGAGCCGAGCAATTTTGTTGATTGGTGGGCCGCCGTGGAATCGGTGTTGGCATTTAAGGCAGTCCCGGAGGATAAGCGTGTGGCGCTCGTTGCTACACGTTTTCGTGGTCGAGCTGCGACTTGGTGGGTGCATGTTACGTGTATGCGGCATCGTCAAGGAAGTCACCGACTATTTCGTGGATGAAATTCCGTAAGTATGTGGAGGATGAGTTTTTACCTTTCAATTATGATAGTTTTTACCTTTATAATAGATTGGCGGATGTTGTTCTCCAGGGCGATGTCGATCCAAGCTCTAGGGGAAAAAGAATTATACTTCTTTCTTCATTCACTGGGGGACCACGAAACATGATTCAAAACTATCCGGATGCAATGGCAATTTGTGGATGGGCAGATTATCCCGATTTGTTTATAACATTCACATGCAATTCAAAATGGCCCGAGATTGTTCGCTTTTTGGAACCAAAGAGACTCCGACCTGAGGATCGCCCGGATATTATATGTAGAGATTTTAACTCAAAATTGAAGGAATTAATCAGGGATTTTCATAAAAGGCAAATATTTGGCAAAGTCATAGCAGGTATTATTTTAAGAAAAAAAATATTGTATATATGTCCATCGTGGTGTCTAACACCATTTTAAAAAATCTTCTAATTATTTTATCTTTTTTTGTGTTTTGTAGTTGTCTACACCTTCTATGACTGAACTTCGCTTCTAAAGTTGGGTCGACAAAGTTGAGGCAGAGTCTGAATGTTTGACCGCATTTTCTTTTTCTTTTTCTTTAGTCGGAGTTCATGCCCATTGATTGAAATAAAAAATTGCAAACTGGAAGAAGCTTTTGAGAACGTCAAAAAAAGAACATCTTCTTCCGACTTAAGAAATTCTTTCAATAATTCCGAGAAATCATAGTCGGGTCTGAAAGAGCTTTCGGAATTGTAGGAATCACAATAGAAGTCGGCTTAATGTTGTAGGAATTCACAATGACACATGTTACTTGTGCGACTTATAAGTGTTATATTATAATAAATTTTCTACCTTATAACATATAACTACATAAAATATAAATATATTAATTGATGAATTATTTTATTTTCTAATTAATTTTAATAAATAATTTATTATTATTATAAAGATAAATATAATTTATTTATTTTATATATACAATATAGATGTCAAATCGAATCTCATCAAAAGATGATTAATTTGATATATTATATATGTAAAACCGATTAGAAATACAAAAGTTATCAACTTTTAAAATATATTTGCAATTCAATGGTTATAATAGGAAATGATATTAAAATACAATTAATACAAATATCAATTTATATCAAAGCCTAACTCCAAAGCATGATTTTTTGTCAAATAGGATTCCGAAGCATGAGAGTTTGCCACTTAGGCTCAGCGCATTCTATAATTATATATAGGGGGCGGATCAAATGAGGACAACTCTTAAAATGCGGATAACTCTTAGCAACTACAGAGACCTAACTTAGCAACTACTAACCTAACAACTACAGAGAACTAACCTAGCAACTACTAACCTAACAACTACAGAGAACTAACTTAGCAACTACTAACCTAGCAACTACATAGAACTAACCTAGTTGGAAGGTTAATTGTCAACGGTCAACGACGGAAGTCAACGGCCAACGTCGGAAGTCAACGAATTTCACCGGAAGTCAACGTCGGAAGTCAACGGTCAACGTCTGAGTCAACGGGTCAAAATATTTAAATAATTAAAATAATAAAAAAAGAGTAAATCTTGGCCACACATGATGTACTAAATCTTGTTGCTAAAAATGAGTCTCACGTCCACACTTTAAATAAGTGGATGCATTGGAACCAATTCCTATATATATATATATATATATAGAGAGAGAGAGAGAGAGAGAGAGAGATGTTTGATTATTTTTTAAATAGTAACTATTTCTCTAAAAAAAAATTATTTACTATTTCGGAAAATTATTTAACAATTTATGGTATATTTCAAATGATCACATATGGTAATTGGGGATCATTATTTAAGGAAATAATTAAACTATATTTTAAGATACCTTAATTAGTCAAATCATGTAAATTAATTAATATATGGTATATAGTGGATGAATTTATTTTTGGTATTGATGGTTGTTTCTGTATGAAATAAATTAATCAATATATGGTATAAAGTGAGCAAATTTATTTATATTATTTGATAAGTGGCTTTTTTCGTATAAAATTAACATAATGAAATTACCGTAACTTTGACAAAATACTATGAACTGATATTTTGATATAATGTGCGTGTATCGATATTTTTTTTAGAAAAAACTCTGGTTATTTTTTTTATAATTAGTGGGTCTCGATTTAATTCATTTTTTTAGCATGATAAAGAGTGTCAATTTTTTGGCAAAAAAAAACTTATGACTGATTGGTTTTACTCAACTACTTAAATTTTGTGATTTGGATATTTTATACAAAAATAAATTCATTTTAATTAATTAAAAAATATAATTTTTATATTTATACTTATTATTCACATATGTTTTTAAATATAATATAAAATTTTACCAAAATAATTATTTTATGGAATCATGTTATAGTTAAATCGAATTTCTGGATAAAAATTTTGAAATGACACATATTTTTAAATGATATAATGTAATTTATTATCAATTACGTGCAACGCACGGGATGTGTACTAATTTTAAATAGACATTTTTATGTAATTTTGCTCAATTTAAATTTTATATATTATTTTCAATAAATTATATGAGTACATTGTATTACATATTGATTCTATGTTTATATTTTATAAATATTATTTAATGAGAATTTTTTATTTATAAATATTAATTAATATTTTTTACTCGTGCATTGCACGAGATTCGTACTAGTTCATTTTCAATAACTGTGTATTTTTTAAAATGTAATATGATACTCTAGAAAGTAATAAAAATAAATGTATAGCATTTCATACTATAAATATGCATTTTTATTAAGAAAAAACTACGACGACTTGCCTAACGACTTTAGGCCGACTATTGGCTTTGTTTGGCGATCAGCGGATAGCGGATATCGAATTGTATCAGCGGATAGCGGATTATATTAGCTGATTTGACTAGCGGATTGCATTAGCGGTTTTTAATAAGTGTTTGGTAAATAGCTGAAAGTTTATAGCTGTTTGACATTGCAAAATGACCAATAAAGCCATTTTATTATTTAGGGTGTATTCTTTTAATAATAATATATTAAAATATTTAATATTCTTTAGTTGGTAATTTATAAATATATTATTTTTTAAAAAAAATTTACTAACATTTGATGAAGAAGTTATGAATTTTACATTTTTGTAGATAAATTAATCATATGGATGATATATTATTATTTATTAGCAACATAAACCAATGTAGATTGTAAAATAAATAAGACAAATTAGAGTTTTATTTTTTGTGAATCCTCTATCTCAAAACGCTGCTCTAATGAACTTTTTATAAATTAGAGTTTGGGCCTAAAAAACTTATCAAATAAGCTATTTACCAAACAAGCTCAATAGCGGATTTGACGGGTCAAACCTCTCAATTAAGTCTAATCCGCTAATTTATCTTCAATCCGCTATCTACCAAACGGGGACATTATAAAAATTTATATCAAAATTGAAGGTTTTATAGTAATAATTTTGGCCTTGTTTGGCGGCCTGCAGATAGCGGATAGCGGATTGTATCAGCGGATAGCAGATTATATTAGCTGATTTGACCAGCGGATTACATTAGCGATTTTTAAATAAGTGTTTGGTAAATACCTTAAAGCTTATAGCTGTTTGACATTACAAAATGACCAATAAGGACATTTTATTATTTAGGATGTATTCTTTTAATAATAATATATTAAAACATTTAATATTCTTTAGTTGGTAATTTATAAATATATTATTTTTTAAAAAAAATTACTAAAACGTGATAAAGAAGTTATGGATTTTACATTTTTCTAGTAAATTAATCATATGGATGAAATATTAGCACCATAAACCAATGTAGATTGTAAATTAAATAATAATGAGTTTCTTTGTGAATCCTCTATCTCCAAAACGCAGCTCTAATGAGCTTTTTTTGAATTAAAGTTTTGGGCCCAAAAAACTTCTCAAATAAGTTATTTACCAAACAGACTCCATAACTGATTTGACGGGTCAAACCTTTCAATTAAGTCCAATCCGCTAATTTCGCTAATTAATCTTCAATCCACTATCTGCGATTTTTTTTTTTTCAAAAATAAAAAAGGAAGGTTTTATAGAAAAACGGGCCTCGGATTGACAAAAACGGTGTTCCTAACCCGTTTTTATATTGTGCTGATCACCTGTCCTTTTTTCCTCAGTTTCAAATTTTCAATCTAAAAAAAAAAAGACATTCAGACCCTAAATTACCAAGTCTCAAATATAATAATTCTGTTTCACTCCTATTCTTTACCAAGAATGTAAGACAGTGTTCTAGAGAGAGAGAATAAAAAATATATTCCAGAGAGAGAATATCTCACGTTACCTTTTTGACATATCAATAGTTCGCATAAACCTCTCTCATTTTCTCCATTGTTTTTTATTTCAATTTTCTTTAGCAAAATATAATAATTTTATCTTCATCGTCTGTGTTCTTGAATCATAATTCCAGTCTAACACAGATTTTTAATTAAATTTACTGTTTTTCTTTTTATCAGCACACCTGAGGTATTTGGTCAGAAACAGATAGAATTAAAGGAAAAAAGAAAAAAGAGAATTGAACTTTTTCCCCACACACGAACTTCGATTTGCCTGGTTTTTATCATCGAAGATCAAATTCTGATTCGTGCCCATGGTATATCAATCGGTTTCCTGATCTGGGCACCGATTGATTTCTCAATTTTCAGAGAAAAACTCAAAAAAGGCGTAGTGAATTAAAGAACAAAAAAAGACTCGATTTTAATTTTTTCTTAATTCACCATGGCCAAGAGTACTTCTGCGAGCCTCGACAAATGGAGGGAGTATTTCCGGACGGCGAGCTCGGACATCTTCGACATAATCGAGAAGGCAATAATGGTGGCCGCCTCCGATTGTCCCTACGACTTCAAACTGAAGAGGGATCGTATAGCAGAGGTGCTCTTCGCCTGCAAAATCACGAGGTGTTTTGGTTGTGAGAAATTGGAGCTGGCCGTTCCCGGCGGCGGCGAGTGCCCGGAGAAAAGCGAGGATAAGTACAAGAGTGGGATTGAGGCAGGCGGGAGTAAGGACACGAAAGAGAGTAAAGTGAACAGCAGTAACAGAGATTGTGATGATGATGATGATGACGATGATAATGATGATGATAATAACAGGGAGGTTATGGAGATGAATGTGAATCAGGTTAGGGATGATAGTTATGGTGATGTTGAGGCACTTAATGATGAGATTGAGGAAGAATCTCAGTTTTACGGGGAGGCTTTGAGGATCAAGGAGGTTCTTGATAACTATAAAGATGAGGTCTGTTTTTGTGTGTGTGTTTTATTTTGCTGTTGTTGTTAATTGGATCCAAATTGATTCAGTTGTGCTATGCTTTGTTATTTTAGCCTGTGTGATAAGATTTGATTTTTTTTATACTTTCTTTGTTTGGGCTGGTTGAGTTCATGGGATTGAGGCTTTAAAGTTAACTTGGAGCCACTTTTCCCATTTGTAAGCTGATTTTTGCAAGAAGGGTGATATTTTTTTCATGTAAATGAGTCCCAATGTGTTTGATAGATTTGGTGTTACTTTCTTTTGAGTTTGTGCTTTAGTGCTTTTAGCTAATTGCTTATGTTAATATTTCGTTTTATAATGTCTATATTCAGTTTCTATGGTTTTTGATCATATCTTTTTCTTTTATTGCAGTCTGACTCATGGTTGTTTGATTCACTGAGGAGGCTCCAGCTGATGCCTTTGTCTGTGGAGACTCTCAAGGTCTGTATTGCAGTTTTCATTTCTATGTTGTTTTCTTTCGGTTATTCATGTTCTCGATCGTTATAACATTTGTTGATTTTTTTTTTTTTATTCGGGGTAAATTTTCAGGCTACAGAGATTGGTAAATCGGTTAATATTCTGCGGAAGCATAGTTCGACTGAAATTAAAAATCTTGCTCGGTCATTGATTGAGTAAGTGTGAATTGATTGCTGTGCCTTGTTGAAGCTGAGGTTAACTAGTTAACATCGTTCAATTACTTTATTTGGAATAGTCAAACACATACACGTGACCTGCATTGATTTTGCTCGTTTTCTTGTTCAAACGCGTTACGTATATTTTGCCGGCCAAAAATAGTAAAAATTAAGAATATGAGGACACGACAAGCGGCAAGTATAATCTTTTTAATTAGTATTTGGTTCCTTTTTAAATCTTTTAGAGTTTAAATATAAGCGCTCATTGTTAGCACCGTTTGGATAAAATGCAGGGACTGGAAAATAATGGTTGATTCGTGGGTTGATGCTACAAAAGCCATTGCAGGTCCTTTTTTGGCTTGAAAATCTCTTTTACTAAAACTAAAAGCATTCTAAATACTTTAAACTTAATAAAGATTCAATATAAATTGCGGTAACTTTTGCAGATGCCGAAACTCGACCTGAATCCGTGAAAACTTCCGTTGTTGAAGAAGAAGAAGAAGGCCTGCCTTCTCCTCCATTAGACGAGGGAGCTTTTTTTACCACCCCAACTTCAATGGAGCTGTCACAGGTGCCATATTTTATTTATAAATATTATTACTTTCATACAATAAAAAAATAAAAAATAAAAAATAAACTAAGTTTTTACAAGGGTTCATTAGCTCATGAACTTATTTTTTCTGCTTTATGTTTCGTTCCTCTATCGTGTTGAAGTTTTTCGACGGCATGGATGATGATGGAAGTACGTTTCTTCATTGTCCCTTCTTTACTTGATTTTCGCCATCAAAAAGAAAAAAAAAAACCGAAAAAAAAAAGGAAAAACAGAAAGTGTTTATGCATTTCTGATTGGGGATATATCGTTTTTCAGATCCTCGTAACTGTGGCGAATTCAACAATAACCGTGAAAAGTGCAGAAATAAACCGAATGTTGAGAAACCAGGCGCTCGTAAGCCGAAAATCGAGAGTTGTGAGGAGAAAAGGGACGAACATTATAGAAATCAAGAAACTGTGTTGAGAAAACCATCCCAATTAGCACAAGCAGCTCTTCCTAAGCCGAATGGGCCTCTCGGCAGCCAGCGTGGCCCGGGCATACCTAAACCTTCCAACTATGAATCGGGCCCAGGTAGACCAAAACCAACGATCAAGCCAAAGCCCAACAGCGAGATTAAGGCCCAGCAAAAATTCGAAACGGGTTCTGTCCAGAGGAAGCCCATGCCTTCTCAAAAGGAGGTGAATATTGCAGCTTAATTAGATAAATAAATATATATTGATTGCTTTATTCATTAATAAGATTGTTATTTTCTTTTTAGCAGAAGCTAAATTGTAGCAACGAGACCTCGACTCACATGAAATTGGAGGCTGCAAAGAGAAAACTGCAGGAACGATATCAAGAAGCCGAGAATGGTTAGTTCATCTTCTTTTTTTTTTTTTTTTTAAAAAAAAAAAANTTAATGTACTAAGTGAATATATGATATAGTTTTATGTTTCCTAATAACAGCCAAAAAGCAACGAACAATACAAGTCGTGGAATTGCGTGACCTCCCGAAACAGAGTGTTGTTCAGAGGAATCCACAAATGAGGCCCGGCAGCAACCACAATAACCGGAACTGGGCAAACGGGCGTCGATAGATTTTTTTTAATATACAATTTTGTATATACTGAAATAACTTTGTAACAATAATGTTGGAGTTTTGATCACACATTCGCCTGTCGGGCGAGTGGAAGGACGTGTCGTTAACTAGCCGGTTTATTCAATCATCGAGTGGAAGGACGTGTCGTTAACTAGCCGGTTTATTCAATCATCGAGAAACCGGAGATATTGAGAGGCCTTTGGGTTTATAATTATATAGCCAAGAGAGGCTTTTGGGGTCTATTTAGTCTAATGGTTCTATTAGATGGAGATTTGTAGAGAAAAACATAGAAAATGTGTTTTTGGTCCAACTTATGATTCAACAAAAAGGGACAGCAAATTGTGTCCATTCAAACTATTCTTTGTCTTGTCCTAACCTTTTCTTTGTGCATACTCTTCTAGAGCTTGAACGAGTCGAGGTCGAGCTTATTTTCTGAACGAGCTCAAATTTATATGTGATTTTTTATAGTTCAGTTAGTTAAAACTCAAATTTGACTCGTTAATAATGATAAACGAATGAGCTCATTTATCAAATTGTATCTATAAATGTTTGAACTCGAGTATTAAAAGAGTTCGAGATAGACTAGGTTTGGCTGGTCTTACATATGTTAAAGTTACTGGCATTTTTTGAAAAAAAAAAGGCTAANAAATCTAAAAAAAAAAAAAGATAGGAGAACTGAAGAAAGTAAATTCTAAAATTTGAATTAGTAAAATAAATAAAATGAAAATTAAAATACGCAGTTGACTAGTGGTGTTTTTGTCTTTTACTTCCAATTATTTCCACAGTGAAAGTACCTTTTGTTTGAAGTCAAACATGCAGGATGACTCATAATAGTTACGGAGTTGACTAGTAAAAAGAATGAGCCATACGTATGGGCTGTAAATTAATTCAGATTCCATGGTTTATTTCTTAAATACAAATATATAGATTTTGTTTAATAGAGAATAAAATCTCATGTGTGGAAAAATATATCCAAGTTATAAATATAATTTCCAGGACCAATCAAAAGTCCTAACTGAACTTTGTGTTAATCATAGCTGCGTATAATGAAAGTTAATAAAAATAAAAATGTAATGGGACATCGAACATAACTTTAATTAAATTATGGATTTTATTCGATGATTCTTTGAACGTATATGAAAATGAGAAATGGATATTTTCCCCGTGAATGAAGCATTTATCTAAAAGCAAATATACTTCTTTCACTAATTATGTAATAATGGTTCATTTAGGGGTTGTTATTTGAATTGAGTTGAGCTTAGCCGAGTGGCTTATCTAATGTTTAAGTTCGTGTTCGTTTAATAAATGAGCCGGTTCAGTTAATCTCGCTTAATAAACAAGTCAAAAACTTGTCTCGAGCTAGGCTTTTAAGTTTGATCCTGCTCGTTTAATAAACGAGTCAAAAATATGTCTCGATTTCGGCTCGTTTAAACTTGACCCGACTCTTTTAATAACTAAGCTCAATTAGCTATTTAAGTTTCGACTTATTTATGTAAACAAGTCGAACCGAGTTGTGTTCGCTAACAAATCGATTTGTTTAACAATACTTTTGCCGCAAAATGACAATAAAATACACAAAAAAGCAAATAAACTATTGCAACTCCAAAACGAAATAATTACTTGATAGAGGAATAACCAAGATCAAAACGATAAAACCCATCCCCATCCTATCATGGAGAGAATATTTCAAAAGTGATAGATATTGGTATTTTTGGTAGTGAATTATTTTAAATTGATTGGGAAAATCTTTAATGATGAACCATTGACAAGTTGATACAGTTTAATAACCTAAAACAATCATATTAGTATGACTTCAAATTATTTACGCTAATTATTCCCTTGAAAGAATATCTTGGAAAAATATCAAATAGGGTACAGATCTGTTAACCACCATTGATATAGAAATTAAAATCTTATCGAGATTTTTACTTAGTCTTTTCCATTATTAAAAAAGATAGAATACTATTTATTTTGCTGCTTAATTTCACCTCCTTTTGATTGAGCTACCGAGATCTCAGGATGAAAAATGAAAAAGTCAATAGGAAATGAAGATAAAAGGAACAATATCAATAAAGAAAACTATATTATAAACTTAAATTTAATATTTCAACATACCTAGTTGTAACTTTAATTTAGGTTTGTGGAGTCAAAACTGTTAATGAAATGAGCTAGTTGTGAGCTCAGTTAAATCTCGAGCTTGTTTAAAGCTCGTTAAGACTCGAAAATATGAACTTTTATGTAATTTATAATAGCTCGGTTTAATAAGACTCAAGTTCGACTAAAACGAGTCAAGCTCAAGCTTGTTTAGTTAATGAGCTAGCCGAACTCGACTTTTTAAGGCAAAAGAATATAAATTTTCACATAATTTTATGTAGTTCCACTCGTAAATATTGAAAAAGAAATCAAACTTTATTTACACCAATATGTGCAATATATTTGGAAAAGCTATTTGGAATAAATAAATTCACTCGTCAGATATATAATAAAGTCTCACAATGGTTGGTGTGGGGATATTGAATTGACAGAAAATAGGTTGTTGATTGCCACCAAAATTCAATATATGAAAAATTCCACCACTAAAGTATATAAAAATAAAAATTGAAAACTCGGTTTGGTCCACATTGAACAAAGTTCATGTCGGCTGAATGGATATGTCTCATTAACCTCACAAGCAAATAAAGAAAAAATCAATATAATAAAGGCATCTTTATATCATTTTCTGTTGATTTTTTCAAAATTTCAACACTCTCAATTTAAGTCCACACGTAAAATCGGTCAATTCAATAACGTCTCGCTCACAAACACACACATTTTTATTTAGAAAGAGTGAAGATAAAAAAATATTTTGATAAATTACATATTTATTTTTTAATCCTTGGTTAGTTTGCAATCTATTTCAATCATTCAGATAACAAGCATGACATGTAAACATCTGACGCCTAGCCTAGCTTGTTGATTAAGCGCTCCAATTTGCAAAAATTAATAATAATAATAATAATTATATCTCGTGCCTTCCATGGTCAGAATTGGTCAGAATTGAAAAATTGAGATTAAATTACAAACAAATTAAGGATTGAGATTTGGTTTGCAATTTGGCAAACTATTATACCGCACCACTAAATTAATTTTGCTTATCTATAGTTCATTTTATATAAGGACATTTGAAAAAATACTAAGCAAGTTTGGCACATTTTGTTTTTCACATTCAATATGATTGGTATTTCACTTCAACTTAATGCATTTATATCTTGTTACATAGAGAAAAAAAAAAATAGTGGATG